AAAAAACAAATTGATGTCAGTTTTTAATGCGTCTGTCTTATTATTGACAATGAATTTCGTCATAACATTGTCAAAGTAGTCTGCGGATCCACTCGGCCGTAGGCCGTAGGATCCACGAGCCGCAGGCCAGTGGTTCCGCAGTAAACTTTGACAATGTTATGATGAAATTTATCATCAATAAAAGGACAGACGCATAAAAAACTGACGTTAATTTGTTTTTGTTTTTTTTTTACAATAACAAGACCCCAAAATGGTCAAATGAGGGAAAAGACAACGTAAACTTGCCGTAAACAAAGATAGGTAAATTTTATTCAAAATGACGCGAACGTTGTCAATAGCTTTTCTCGCTTTTTGATTGGCTACTTAAAATGTCAATAAAATGCCATTGGTTAAAAAGTTGACAATTCGACAGCTGAAAGTTAAACTGTTGAAAGCGTCTATAAATTAAAGTTTTATCCGTCTGTACTTTTACTGTTGATAAAAATGAGTCAACCAGCGCGAGAAATTAGACAGTTATGTAAAAATCATGAATAGAAGTTATATCAATACTGGTAGGCTGTGTATAGCCACCAGCTCTCTAAAATTTCTTGGCGAGTTTGCAGTTGTACACCAGCAACGTACAGTTCTAGCGAAGCATTTTTCTCTTTAGTTTTGTCTTTAACCGGAAATATACTAAAGTCCGGTGCACTTAGGCCACGCGACTACAACGCCAGAAGTAATTGCCGATTAATTTTAGCAAAAAGAGGCCCCATATTCCCTGTGCCCTACAATTTTCACTTTAATTAATCACAGTTTCACGGCCAATTTCATTTGCTTTACATACTGCACTGCTTACATGTTTTTAGGTTCCAGGAAAAGAGAAATTTTAAATGATTTTAGTCGACGTTTTGTATTTTCCATGTTTTTGGAGATGCCAGTCGATTTTTACGGTGATATTCTACGCCTGGCATGTTAATGTGTACTGCATAGGGAGGAAATATCTCCAACTACAGTTTAGTTTTAAGTAAAATTCTTCGCTTGCTTGCCCGTTTACCCTTTGTTTATTTATACACGTATTCATTCAACCATCCATCCATCCGTCGGTCCTTCCCTGGTTCCTTCCTTCTTTCTTTCGTTTATTCATTTATGCACTCTGTCCGTCATTCTAACATTCCGATTTATTTATTTCTGAGCGATTTCGCAAAAACATGCCCGCTAATCCAGGCTAAGGTAATGACCTTAAACCCAGAGGGGCTCCGTTAAGTTCAGACCGGGCACATTGCTCAGGCACCGGCCTATTTGCTGGCGGTTTGCTGGCGGCCAGTTGTCAAAAGCAGGGGGGAGGGGAGGGTGTTTTGTACTGACACCCTCAGCTAGCTTTAAATAAGCTTAATATTGACTGTTTCTGGGTATTTTACTCAGTTGTTTAACCTTGTTTGAAGCTTCTGTGTTGACATGGCACCCTGCTGGAGTGGTCCATGCCACGTGCATGCGTGAGGGGCCAATCTCTTAGTCATGGCGGTGGTCAGAGGACTTCTGGCCGGTGAGACTGTCTTTCAGTCAATACGGGCATGTTTTTTGCGAATTCGGTCAGATTTATTTGTTTGTTTACGATTTTATTTATTTAGTTGTACGTTATTTAAATATGATAAAATTTGTCTTTGAAATTTGGTTAAATTAACAGGTCCGATCATCCTCACGTGATCAGTGGGCAAGGCACTATGGGATTAGAAATCATCGACCAAGTTAAGGATTTGGACGCCATAGTTATTCCCGTGGGTGGAGGGGGTCTGCTAGCTGGAGTGGCTCTCGCTATTAAGACAGTTTACCCCAAAGTTCAAGTTATAGTAAGTTTAAGACTGTTTGAAGCTCTGCATGCGCAATGAAAAATCAGCAAGTTTCAGTCGAGGTCATTAAAATTAGGCTAAGGTATCGAAGAAGTTGCTGAACTTAATTGTCGCTAAATCATGAGAAAGTCAAATTACCTACTGTAGTTGACCTCAGGTGTCGATGAAATTAGTCACCCTTAAATGATTTTGCAGATTTAGCTAAAGCAATAATTCGTTGCCACAAAATAAAAATTTAGCTTCGCATGTAGTATTTTATGTTCAAAACAGACTGACACTTGAAATTGTCATTTAGAAGTTGAAAATTGACTCATAGTTAGCCTTAAGGGCTTGAATGAATGAATGAATGAGTGAGTGAATGAATGAATGAATGAATGAATGAAAGACTTTATTTAAGTGTCATAAGTATTTAGCTTTAAAAAAAAAAAAACTAACTGGGGACACTTTTTACACTATAAAATATACCTTAGCTAAAGATAAAATTATTTACAATTTTTTTTAAAATAAGTCTCCTTCTCAAGTCCTTTTCACACCTATGAGTTGAATGCAAGAACTTAATGGTATAAAATGTTTCCAAACTGCTGCTCAGGGGTTACCTGCATGGGCTCTCGATAACAGAATGGAAAATGACTGTAACTTCACACTTGCACATTGCAGACCTATTTTCGTTTTGTTTTCAGGGTGTTCAATCTCAGAAGTGTGCGAGTTTTCAGGCCGCAATGGATGCTGGGCAACCTGTTAAAGTCGCCTTTGATGAACCTACAAGTCTAACAGACTGTAAGTTAAGCAGACTTCGTCTGTTTTCTTCAACCTCCCATGTAGTTTGCGATTAATTGTAAGCACTTCGGCGTTAATTCTTACTACTGTGGAACCTCGATTTAACGAACCACTATATAACGAAGTCCTCGAACGATTTTGCTGGCCCCAGTAATAATAAAATATATGGAAAAGAACCTCGATACAACGAAACCTCGTTGTAGCGAACATACATTTTGCGAGTCCCTTAGCCCTTCGTTATATGGAGGTTCCACTGTATTTGTAAAAAAAAAAAAAANTTTATTATCTTTTTCACATTTTTTATCTTTTTCAGTTCTTTCGTGTAAAAAGAGTAGAGGAATAGACCTTACGCAGAATTACGTGAATATGTCACCCTAGGCCTCATTTAATCGAAATCATCTTGTCAAACTTCTGGCTCCATACTGTTTACACGTTGGAGTTCTTTGTTGCTGTGGGAATTTATTCATGATAATACGTGCAAATTGCCAGTCGAGAGTGAGGCTTGGGATGTAAGTAGTTTACGGTCCGATGTGAACATACATAAGAACTATTACAACCTCTGTAATCACTTAAGATCTTTTGTTAAACAAAGTGAAGTGCTGTAAAGAATATAACGCATTTTATTAAATAATTAGGCAATTTCGCGCTCTCTTTTTATTTTTGTAACTTTTAAACTATATAATTTTAAACATACTGTGTGTTTTAAGGTGTTTTATAAAACGCCCTTTTATACAAACCAGGAGTGATAACCTGTTAAGGTGGTTGAACACATTCAATTTTTATACGAGGCAGTGCACATTCGGATTACGAAAAAACCTTGCATGTTGCTGATACAGCGACTACTTGGTTTAATCTCTGCTAGTTCTAAATGTGCTATTTTACTTCTAAAAATAATACAGTGTGTTGCGTGTTGTAGTATTTTGATATTTTGTTAGAACCGACGGTATGTCAGAAAAAACCAGTAAGTCAAGATGCAAAAACCCAACCGTCGGGCAGGATTTTTTGTTCAACCTTTAGAGTCCAGTGAAATGCAACGTTTGCATAGTTAGTCGAACAACTGAAAGTGAATGCTATTGTGACGTCCTTGAAAATGCACCTTTTTCTTTAGAGCCAGTCGTTGTGTTCAGCCATCTTAACTTGACCCTAAATCCTTTACCGAGGTCTAACAAAACCTCATTCTGAGTTTTGGTAAAGCGAAGGATTTTTTAATTAGCCAAGTGTATATTTGAAATAAAGAAAAAAAAAAAAAAAAAAAAGAGAGATTGCAGATATCTGGAAAGCAAAGGGAGAGGTTTTGTTACTTTTTCATTTTAACAATAGGCCACGTTTGTTATATCAATATTATAACATGCCTCCGAGGCTTTCAGGACAAACTCCTATATTTGCTGGTGTTTTCAGTTGTATCCAAGTCTTTTTGGGGGGATTGAGGGACAAAAGGAACTTTAACAAATTTGCAATTTTGTCCTGAAAGCCTCGGAGCCAGGTTAGAATATTGACATATCGAACGGGGCCTGTTTACGGGGTTGGATGTAATTTGTTATCGTCAGATATGTGAGAAAAAAAAATTGATGACGTTGATGAATTATAATTGCTGATATCTACACTGATCATGGTGTTATTCTAACATATCCAGCACTAAACGTGCCAGAGGTCGGAAAGAACGCTTTTCATATTGCCAGAGGACTCGTAGACAAGTTAGTGACCGTCAGGTAATTAAAACATACGCACATAAATACAATCAACGTTCCCCGGTAAATAGGTATACAAAATGAAATAATTTTCTTATAAATTTTCTTATTAAATTAGATTATGAACTCTAGATTTCTACCACGTAATAGTTGACGAGGGCGCAGCCCGCGTCAACCATAACCCATAGAAATCTCGATCTCNAAAAAAAAAAAAAAAAAAAAAACGACGAGAGATTGGTTCGTTTTGCGTTTCTGGAACGAGGAAAAGTGTGATTGAACGAAACGAGTTCTTGCGTAAGGTTTGCTCTGTGAGCCTTTAATGTTATCAGTCAAAATTACTTAGTTTTTATTCTAAAAAAACCTGGCACTAATCTAAGTAGGTGATTAAGAAATCATATTTTGTTAAGATTTGTTTTCCTAAATGAAATGAATCTGTTCGACTTGGTACCATGCAAGGCCAAATAAACAGTTACTTTTGTAATTGAACAAAGGGAAATAGACCTTACTACGGTTTTCGACGCCATCTTGACGGGTAGGCAAAGCAGTCAGAAATTACAGTGTTTGTATGGAAATCCGATGGCAAATAACTTTATCCAAATTTGAATTTTACACAATTGGTGAATCGCAACGTTAAAATACTAGGTAGAAGATTGTCTTCACCAAGTTTGAAGGATGTAGCTTGGCTAGAACACGCTTAGTTAATTTTTCTAATTTTCCATACATTTGTCTTTTTTTTTCGCACCGCCGCGTCTACCCAGCCATATGTACAGACAAATGAATGGAAAATTAGAAAAATTAACTGAGCGTCCTCTAGCCAAGCTACATCCTTCAAACTTGTTGAATAAAATCTTCCACCTAGTATTCTAACATTGCGGCTCACAAATTGTGTAAAATTCGTTTTGCAAAAAGTTTTTTGCCATCGGTTTCCCATAAAAACACTGTAATTTCTGACCGCTTTGCCTACCCGTCAAGATGGCGTCGAAAACCATGATAGGGTCTATTTGTACAACCACTACTGACAGTTACAGGTGTAGTGTCTATAGTGATAGATATCGTGCGACCGTAAAGGATAAGTAGTACCTAATTCCAATTATATAAAACTGGATCATTGGATAATGCCATTCGAGAGTTTTCACTGACTTGGCTATCATGGGTTATGAGCCATTACAACATGCTCTACAAATATGGTAAGCGTATGCGTGATTTTTTGGGGCGTTGTTAGTTTTATTTTGGTTCAGTTTTCTCTATTTTGGGGGCGTTTTTAATAATTAAAACAATTATTCCACTCGCGCTTGTTGGATTTGAGATGATTATATCTACCATCTCATATCCAACGTGGATAGTTGTTAATTGGCGAGCGTTATCTAGGCATGGCGTTCCAAGAGTAAAGCTTGAAAACGAGCATGTACATACGAATTCTATCGCAACTTCAGTAGTTGGTGGAGATTTATAAACAAACAAGCAAACAACGATAATCAACGGTGTATAGTTTTTAACACTTCATTAAATCAAAACCACAATGAAAACAACTGCAGTGTAAGAACACTACAACAGTAGACCCATGTAAAGACCCATAGGCTATCGCACGGAACCACCATGAAGTTTCTTCCTCGTCATGTCCTTCCTTTCTGATGCTCTTGCATTTCTGATCATCTAAGAAGAAAGAAACGTAGTTATTTGAGTGATAAAAAAATGATTGTAAAACTGCCGTCTAGTTCATGGGGTATTGCGAAAAGTTTTGAGATACGGTTTTTAACATTCGTTCATAGCCACAATGTTCAGGTTAAGGTGAAAATTGTCGATTTAATTATTGTGATACTGATCTCACAGACATTTTAAAAGAACAGAACTGAACCTTTTTGTCGCCAATGTCACAAGCTCCCTTTGTTACTTACCAAAGGAAAACTCGGGTTCGTCACTCTTTCAAAGATGAGTGATAATGATTCTGTCCACAAGGCTGAAAGAAGAGAAAGAAGGAAAACTGTTTAATTTAACCGAGAGGAGAAGGTCCCCTTGCACTGCGTTTTCGTAAAACACGGTCATCGCGTCATGATTTGTGGAGTGCCGTATTTTCAAGATATGGCACATAATGTCGTGGCTTTCTTTCACTGCATATACCGTTAATGAGGGACGATTTGACGTTTTCTGTTGGTCATAAGCAAATCTAAGCTATTTGATTGCCTCGCTTTGTTGCTTTTAATATACTTTTTAACCTTTCCAATAATTCAACGGGAAGTCGAAGCTGGGCTACTGAAAGTAATTTTAAAGATTGAAGGCCGCAGTTAAGACTTTGCCAAACTGAGAATTGGGGTTCCACTTTTTGGAAGTAGATTCAAATAGATGAATATTTCTTCATCCACAGTGGTAGTAAAATAAAAATGCCACACATTTGCAATCATTNCAAGATATGGCACATAATGTCGTGGCTTTCTTTCACTGCATATACCGTTAATGAGGGACGATTTGACGTTTTCTGTTGGTCATAAGCAAATCTAAGCTATTTGATTGCCTCGCTTTGTTGTTTTTAATATACTTTTTAGCCTTTCCAATAATTCAACGGGAAGTCGAAGCTGGGCTATTGAAAGTAATTTTAAAGATTGAAGGGCCCAGTTAAGACTTTGCCAAACTGAGAACTGGGGTTCCACTTTTTGGAAGTAGATTCAAATAGGTGAATATTTCTTCATCCAGAGTGGTAGTAAAATAAAAATGCCACACATTTGCAATCATTGGGAGACAATTCATGTATTACCCAAATTGGNAAAACAGAAGCTTCATGCAATCTTCCATACCAGTATAATCGTGATTCTTGATTCTAAGGTGCCATTTGCTTTGTATTCTCAATTTAATATGTATAAAACGGCCGACGATATTCGAAACAAACTGCCTACCCCACGAAATTCTCGGAATGGATTTGCACAAGTCTCGCAATGAATTAATTTCAAGGTCGCTTAGACGGTCTTTTCTCGTAACAAAGTTTAAGTAACACACACATCATAAAATGCAAACTCTAACCGCCATTGCAGCCGAGCTGCCTTCAAACTAAAATAGCGGTCAACCGCATCGATTTTTTGCAGCATGCAGTTTTCGATGCTGGCATGTCGTTGCTTTCCTCTGTGTGCTTTAACTACAGCATAAAAGTTACAATTGTCGTATTCTTGAAACACTAGTGAATATGATACGTACTGTGTACAGGAGTTCGTCTGAACTGCCCTCCATGTCGACCCGTGACCAGAAGCCTGCTTTCTGAGGAATTGATTTCTTCAATAGAAACATTGTCTTCGAATGCTGCGCGAGTACAGGCCACACCATTAACAAGTATGTGGAGCAGCTCACTGACAGAGCCTGACTCCGCAAGCATCATATCGCTTCTGTGCTCATTTTCGTGGGCCCCGTCGTCGATCCGAACTTGTATAGAACCATTCGTTTGTGTAATGGCTGCTTTGTCGCCCTCCAGTTGGAGACTACCTATCTCTCCTTCGCTCTGCATTAGAATCTCAGCTGGTTGGGTTGGGGAGCTTTGTGTGACTGACTTCACAAGCATCATGTCACTTTGCTGATGATTTTGATTATCTTTGTCGTGGATCTGACCTTCTTGCAAAGCGTCATTCGCTTGTCGAGTTACAACAGCTGTGTTAGAACTTCCCAACTCCTCTTCGCTAAAGGGAATCTCTTGAAGCTCAACTGGCGGCACTAGTTAGTATGCCGGATTAGGTTGCATTTGGCTAGAAGGTTGTGTCGATTCTTCATCGAGCGTTTGTAAAGGTTGCCGTTGGATTTCTTCAGTGTCTGGCTCTTGAAAGTATGCATGGTTGCTGCTGTTCCCTTCCTCTTCGTCCTTCAAAATAGCAGAAGAGTAAATTACTAGAAAGTTATCACATGTCGCGCCAAAACTATTGCACTATAAAAACTAGGTAAACTTTGTCACCCTATAATCGAAATACTCAGTTGTAATGAGCTATTTGAGTACCGTATTCGCAGTATCAAAGCCATCCATTTTGCCTTGAACTTCGTAACCCTTACAGTATGAATCGAAATCCAGTATGATAATTATTTATTGATATCAGCTGTCACATAAAGGTCCACTGATTGGATAAAGCAAGCTAAACAGTCTGTCAGTCATGCTCGACAGGACTGTGGCTGTGCACGTGCACGAAAACAGTTCAATATTTTTTGATACATTTATACTTCATTTTTACAGTAATCTTTCTAGTATTGTTGTTATTACAATTTAACTGATTTAATTCATAATTTACTACCTCTTAGTATGGCTCCTGTTGATTTAGGAGTTGTTTTATTGTTTAAAGATTTGATTAAAGATGGCCAATACCTACACACTTCAATTTCGACCTTTTAATGAATCTTCTATCTTGTAACTCAAATCATCATATCTTTATTAGGCATTTATTCAGTAATGTCCATGGTATTCTAGGTATTTCATTGTATGTATTAAGACGGATGGTTCAGTTACAGCGACTGCTCCCGTCTTACATTACCGAGCATCTCAAATTCCTGTCGTCAAAAACGCCACCAGAAAAGTTTTCAATTGAGTGTCATAAAACCAAAACCAGGGTAATCACTCTGGCCAATCACAAAGAACACGGACAATACAGTGAGCCAATGGAAACTTCAAGTAAATACATGTACCTTGGGAAAATGTGCGCGAACAAGTCTCAATTGGTTTTGGTTTTACTTCTACTTCTGATTGGATGAAAAAGTGGCGCGAGTCTTTTTTAGCCAATCGTGTAGCGTAGTTATGCAAAGCCAATTACTTCTCTACACTCAAGCGAAA